ATTGAGGAGCTTTATGAGAATTCTTTTCATGTGAAATACCATAATGTCTACAATAGGGATCAAATGGTCCACAACACTTACTGGCATTGTTAAAACAACTATGTTTTAGCTTCTCGCATGTCTGCCTCTCAACTAAAGCGTAATTTTTTTTAACTTTTCCAACATTTTGTCTTTTCTCTTTAAAGCATAAACTCATAGTTTCATAGAACAATCATCAATAAAGGTAACAAAATAAAGTACATTACTAAATGATTTTACTTTTAATTGACCACAAACATTATAATGTACCATTTGAAGCAACTCTTACTTTCTTGAGGTATGATGTCTCTTGAAGGATACTCTAGTCTGTTTAACAGACATGCAGTGAGAACACTTATTCAAATTTGCATTCTTTAATCCTGAAAGAACATCCTTTTGGCCAAAATATTCATTCCTTTTTCACTAATGTGACTAAGTCTTTGGTGTCATCAATAACATTCACACTGTCTCTAGCAACTAAAGCTTTTGTCTAATACAACTTAGAAAGCTTCTCCATGTAGCCATAACCAAGTTACCTTTGTTGAGTTTCCACTTTCCATAAAAATTGATTTCCATAACCATAGTCATCAAGCATATGCACAAAGATCAAATTAAAGCGGACACCAGGAGCTTGTTTGACACCTCTAAGCAATAATTACATTCCCATGTTGGTTTGCAAGCAAACATCACCAACACCGATTACCTTAGATACACAATCATTAACCAGCTTCAATACTACAAAGTCACCATAATTATAAGATGTGAATAAATCCTTCCTTGTTGTAACATGGAATGTAGAACCACTGTTAACTACCCACATGCTCTCGTCCGATACGAGATCAATAGTCTCATGATCACGTAGAAATAACAAGATCATTACTAGTAGTCGCAGTAACATGATCATCATCGTGATATTCATGATCTCTTTGTTTAGACTTACCTTCCTTGCCTTTGTTATCCCTTTTACTCTAGTAAAAATACTTTTATACTTGTCATGCTTTGTGACAATAATGACACTCCATATTCTTGTATCATGGCTTAAACTTGCTTCTGGTGTTCTCTCTACCACCCTTAAGCTTCTTTTTCAGACTTCTCCCCCTATTTTTAGTGACAAGTACCTAGAATTGATATGAAGAACCTCGTGCCTTCCTTCTCATCTCCTCATTGAGCATACCACCTTTAGCCATTTTCAAAGAAACAACACCTCTAGGAGCAGAACTTATGATAGAAACTTGAAACGTCTCCCGAGACTCTGGTAAATATAGCAATAAAAATAGTCTCAAAAGTTCATCATCAAATTTAATACCCATTAGTGACATCTGATCAATGAGCCCTTGAAATTCACTCATGTGATTTGAAATAAAAGTCTCATCCTTATACTTTGAATTTATGAAGACATTCAACAAGAACAATTTATTATTCCCTGATTTAGAGGCATATAAGAACTCTATCTTCTCCCACAAAGTTTTTGTGTATGTCTCATTAGCAATATGATTATAAATATTATCTTCTACATATTTTCGAATAAAATCACATACATGTAGATGTCCAAACTCTCATTCTTCATCGAACAAAGAATCTGACTTTGTGGAACTAAACCCAAGTAAATTCAATTTCTTCACAAATAGTAAGCTTTTCATTTTACCTTTCTATAAATGGTAATTAGAATCATTCAAAAATGTCATCTTCATATTTATATTTGACTCCATTATTCAAACAATTAAAATAGCTTATAATCAAGAGCTCTGATGCCACTCTTATGAGAAATTAAAACACAGTAACACATTAATACACAACGAATATAAAATTCCCCAAATTTTAAGAACCTATTAGGATCAATAACCAATATATGGCAGCAAATTGAATAAATAAAGGCAGAACAGAAAACTGATAGTTTAACGTGGAAAACCCCTCAATATGAGAGTAAAAACCACGAGCCGTCTAGACCAAAGAAATAACTCAAGTATAATAAAATAAGGTTACAATAGAGTCTTAAAATGATTCACAAATTAATGGTGACAACCGCAAAATCACAAATCAAACTACCTTACAAATAAGAATCAATAAGCTGAAAAATTACTCAAATACGCAGCTTCAGTGCGAAGCAGATATCTCTCAGCTCATACTTTGTTTTGAAAATCCAAACGGTCAAAAAGGTATACGCATATTTTGCGAACCTGCTCTATATATTTGAGCTCAATCCAACTATTAACGAATCATAAATCCTCAATTTAGTGAAACTAGTTGCTGAAAATGAGAATAAGGTTCTCTTCTTTTCTCTCTCTTTTGTAACTGAATAGGTAGTATAATACAAAGAAATCGACCAAATATATTGATTATGTTTTTTTTTATATAAGAGTCCACTCATTTTTTAGGTTTATTGAATAATCAATATATTTAATTTATAAATCGACCAAATACATTGATTATTCAATAAACTTAGAAAATAAATTGTCTCTTATATAAAAGAACATAAGGAATACTTGCTACTAATATGATGTGAATCTTATTCTATGTTGATATTTATATTGTATTGAAGGAGAATCAGCTACCAACCAAAAATTATCATATTCCAACGTTTGAGTTTTTATTTAAGCAATTATAATTTTTCTTTATTTAAAGTCTTTGCACGTAAATCAGTTGTTATTTAAGTTAAAAGGTTTTTGACCTTCCTTTATGTTTGAATTTTTAAATTAAATTGAACAATTATTTTATATGTCTCTATTGCCATTGTCATTTTAATATCAAAATTATAAATTTAAATTAAACTGTATTAAATTAAATTAGATCTAATCGAAATATTTTATACTTGTTATCCAAATCAAACTGATTCAGACAAAATTTTATTTTAGAATTACCTAGTTATTTTTTATCTCTAATCTTCAATGCAAATAATTAGCAATACAATTTCTTTCTTTCTTCTCAATTTGAAATATTCTCGCTCTTTTAAAAAAATTAATAAATAACAATATTTTTTTTTGTGATTCTAACCTATGCGTGATACTAACTTTATTCTGAAATCCTTTGTGTCCCATATGTCTCTTCGTTTATATTACATCAAAAGAAGATAAATAATGTAATATAAATATAATCAGTATAAGAAAATTAGAAATATCGATGGGTCATTATAACTATTTTAAATTATAACTCTTTTTTTTAATAATAGTAATAAATAAATTTAAAATTAATAAAATATTAATGTTACTTTTAGTTATATCAATCATTATTTAATATTTTTTCAATTCTTTTAGTTTTTTATTTTATTATTATTAATAAAGAATAATTTTATTAAAATAATATAATATTTATTTCTAATATAATATTTTTTTATCATATATTAATATGAAAAATAACATATAATTATAAACAAAAGATAATAATACTTTATAAAAGGTAGAAAAATATGATATCTTCTAAAGAAAAATGCTTATGACATGAGTAATTTTTTGACAATTAATAAATAAAGAAATTTGTGTAAAAAAAATAACTTAGGTCGATTTTTCATCTATATTTACAATTTTACTCTTAAAATGAAATGTTATATCCATAATAAGTAAAATTAGATGGGTTGGTTTAACTGATTGGATCAGAAACCAAAATTCTTTGATTTATTTGCAGAAAAATTAGAATTTAAATTAAAAAAATCAATCAAAATCTAATTAAAACTTGAAAAATCAATAGTTTAAGCAATTTCAAAAGTCGAAACAGATTTTCCTTTTTTATTTATAAAAATATAATAAAATTTTTTGTTTTAAATCAATAAAATATTTGATTTAATTTTTTTTCTCCAATCACTCTTATACACGTTACGGTTAAAATAAAAATAAAAACTATTTTTAATTTTTTTCTCTATTAATCTATTAATGTGACGAAAGAAAATGGATTTTATATGATACTGAAATGCATAATAGACAAATAAAATAAAATATAATACAACAAGAGAAAATGAAATTAATAAAATTATTAGATTATTAATTATTATTATTATATTATAATAAAAGTTTTAAGTATACCTACCTAACATATTTAAAATATAAAAGAGTATAAAAAACTAAAATAATTATTAGGTATTAATTATTATGAAATTATTAATAAATTATTTTATTCAATTTTAAAACTATAATTATTTTTCATATATATTATAAACAAAATTAATTTAATTTTCATAGAAAATATAAATTTAATAGATTTATTTTTTTTATTATTTAATTATTATTTTTTATAGTAATTATAATAAATATAATATTTAAATTTATTATTTACATATAATAATGATCGATGTAGAAAAAAGAAACAAATAAATGTTAAAATATGATATCGAATTCCAACTTTGAAAATATTGAATCAAACACTTTTATTTAAAATACCCTCAACCAAATAAATCCTTACTAGTTGCTTTAAAAAATTCCAAAATCTTCTAAAAACTTTTAATTCCCTTAGACAAGATCTGTCCTAAAGACTTAATTGCCCTTAGAGAAGATCTGTCCTACTCAAACATTCATTCTTTTCATCAAATATAAAACTCTTTCTCACATTTAAATACCAGGAGTTAATTTCTAAATTGTAAGGCCATTCATTCATTTGGAATGATTAATTAGTTATAACCTATAACTTATGGAAAGTAACAAAATTTTATGTCTTAGAAAGGAAAATGGTAATCCCATGATTGATTGATTATGACTAATTTGTACCTTGATAAGCGGTCAGTCACACTCACATTATAGAACTTCCCACGCACCTTCCAAGAATTAGACAAAAAAGGTCACTAAATGTCACATTTGTTGCCTAGCCTTGCCTAGCCACAATCTTAAATTTTACTCCTTCTTCAAACATTTGGAGTTAATTTGTTTTATTCCTCATCTAACTCTATATATAGTAGTTCCACTTCCCACAACAAATCATTGTCCTCATTATACAACACTACACTAACCTAATTTTCATTTTCCTTTTCCTTTTGCATAAACTATAGGAGTTAACCAACAATGGCATCAAGTTCTAAGAAGAATGGTGGGTCACTTGTTTTTGAGGATTTCTTCCCTTCAATGATGGAGAAGCTAGGAAGTGAAGGGTTTATGAAAGAGTTGGCAAATGGTTTCAATGTGTTAATGGATAGAGAGAAGAAAGTGATAACATTTGAAAGCTTGAAGAAGAACTCGGCATTGCTCGGGTTAGAAGGTATGAGTGATGATGAGATTACTTGCATGTTAAGGGAAGGTGATATGGATGGAGATGGAGCTCTAAGTGAAATGGAGTTTTGCACTCTCATGTTTAGGTTGAGTCCTTCTTTGATGAATGACACTAAGCAACTTTTGGGAGAAGTTATTTTCAATGGAAATTAATGATTTTTTTTTGCTTTTGTTATTGTCTTAGATTTTAATTAGCTTTTAAGCATGTTTTGGTTTTGTATGCGTATTTTTCTAGTTTGTTTGTTAAAAATGTTCCCAATATTTATTTAACGTTTCATTTTAATCTTATGTGTTAAAGTTTTTATTTTGATCCCTTATGTTACTAATGTTACATCATTTTAGTTCAATGTCAAATTCTCACCTAACATTATTCAAAGAATTTTATGTAATCGACAATTGTACTATTTGGCATTTGTTTGTAGATAGCTGCAAGAAATAGTGAAGATTAAGGAGCGTCAACATGACAGACACACTATTATTGTAAACTTTTTGACATACCAATGATATTTCTAAACACGCATTTTATAAATATTTTAAAAAATTATTATTTTTAAAGTATATATTATTTAAGATGAAGTGCATTAAATTTAAAAAATTATTATTTTTAAAGTATATATTATTTAAGAAGTGCACCATTAAATTTTAGACATGTTAGTAGTAGACCTGACAACGGACAGACAGAGATGGTTTTTATCTCTCTGATATTTAAACTCAAATCTTAAAAAATTAAAACTTAAATTCATCCCCAACCATTCATATGGAGGATTCAAACTTTTTAAATAAAAATATTAATTTTTTCATCTTCAAATTATATTACAAATGATAATAAAGAAAATTTCTAAAACATTTTTAAATGAAAACTTTCATAGTTCAAAGACCATTTATCGTTCCTTTATTTCAATAACGTTGAAATTAAATTAAAAATAAAAAATAAAAAAAGAAGTCAAAGTTCAAAGACCATTTATAAAATACTTAAAAGAAATAAACGATAGAATTAATTATTTTTAAGTACTAGCTCAGTAGTGACTTAGCATTATAAGTTATAACCTTAAGATACCTCGGTAACTAGTATATCAACTATTTATGTAGTTTTTTACCATGTCAATTGTACTAATAATACACAAGGTTTTAAACTCTCAAGTTACCTCACAAAAATGAGTTAAACCCCATCTTAACTCTCCTCTTGACGAACTCTTATAAAATCTAATTAACTAAGATAAAATTGGCAACTACATCATTCTAGAAACTATGCCATCAAAACTCACTAACTCCAAATGCACAGAAATATCAGGAAGAATGAAATTATGAGCCCAAAAAGTGAAGAAACATAAAATGGTGAGTTTTGATTATTAATGCATTAATGTAGGCATACTTTGTTGATCAAACTTTCAAAACATGTTATAACATTCCAGACATATTTGACCATTCAACATTAACAAGACAAGCCAGAGTGCGTATATATGCCCTTCTTAACAACCAACCTCAGTCTATAGTTGTTTGCGGCTCCAAAGATTGCCGAAAAAGTAAAAAATAAATGGTTTCCCCAGACGGCCATCCTCACTTTGGATAGAGGATATCATAGTGACCAGGACGGTATAGCAATGTGATGAAGGGATTCTTCTTTTCAGAGCTACCACTTGAACTTGGGAGATCACCAGCAGATGGAATGAAATCATGATGATTTACACTGACACCACCAGTATCACAAGAGCTGCGGTCGAGGTACACAACACGGATAGGAACGCCCAATGCATCTGAAAGGGCGGTAATGTGGACATGGTCACTCTCTTCGCCCATTGGTTCAACAGCTGATTTGCAAAACTAAACCACAACAACATGAAAGAGATGGAGAATATTAAAATTAGATTGACTAAAGCCAACTTTACAAGCAATTCATAAAAGGATGAAAAAAAAAAATTAGCATTGAAACGAACCTGCTCAACAGTTGTATTGGTTAAGCCCATTATGAAAGGTTCAAAAAATTCTGAGCGGTTTTGTATTGCAGCAGACGTAACAAATCTGAAGAACATAACAACTAAAGAAAACATTTTGTCAAGAAAAATGAAAGAAGTGAGATTAGGATATGAGACAGGTCTAACTCACTCACCATAATCAGATACAGACTGATCTCGGCTTCTAAGAACAAGCTCTTCATGACTGTGATGATATAAATATATTCAAATTGAATAATTAGGCTAGATAAACAGAAAAGTGTGATAACTGAGTATTCTGAGAATATATCATGGTTCCAGTTCAGAATTGTCAATGCAAATTCATGGTGATTGGTGAAGGAAAAAGTTAACACCTTATGGAAGTCTCTTTCCCTTGAATTACATCTTCCAGCTGCTCAAGGAATAGCTGAAATATTTATACAGTGAGATAGTAAAAGGTTGTAAGTATACTTATTAACCTCTGGAAGTACCAATACAGATTTAAAATTAGTATATATCTGCCTGGGTACCAGATGTCCAGTTTAGTGTTTAAAAAAAATTAAACAATGTATTCTTGGCTTTATTTATACTTTCAGCATCAAGAGAAGAACTATAAGCCTGAAAATTTTCCAAATTCTTCCAACAACAACAACCAAGTTTTATCCCACCCACTAAGTGGGGTCAGCGACATGGATCAACTTTCGCCATAATGCTCTATTCAGCACCATACCTCTATCCAACTCATTAATCTCAAGATCTTTCTTAATAATTTTTTTTATAGTCTTTCTAGGTCTTCCTCTTCCTCTAGTTGTTTGACTTCTCTCCATCTGATCTACTCTCCTTACCACATAATCTACAGGTCTTCTCTCTACATGCCCAAACCACCCAAGTATATTTTCGACCATCTTCTCTACTATAGGTGCTACCTCAACACTCTCTAATACTTTCATTTCTAATCCTATTATGTCTAGTCTTACCACACACATCCAACGCAACATCCTCATCTACACTTACTTTATTTTTGCATTGATTCTTAACCATCCAACATTTTGTCTCGTAAAACATTGCAGGTCTCACCGCAGTCCGACAGAAAACTTTATACAGAATTAAGATTGAATTGAATGCAGCCTATATTTTTTTCTATTGTAAGATTTCCTAATTTTTTTGAAAAATAGCTCCATAACATAGCTCTGATCAGCCAATTTTGTTCCATAGCTATATAACATAACATTAGGAGGCCTATATTTTGTTGCTACTCTAGTTACTGGTTTTCTATATGATAACCCAATAACCCCGCCTCAAAGTGAACATCCTTTATTATCATTTCAAAGATGGAAGATCTAAACTGCAACGATGGAAGATCTATTCTAATACTTCCTATAGTACAAGGCTAGATAGACAGAAGGCATATGTGAAGTCATAGTAGCTACTTTCAACTAGCCTAGAGGTTAGCATAGATTACTATGTATACGCGGTACAATTTGCCTATGTTTGGAGCATTTTTCATAAGATTCGTCAGTATATTCATATAGTACAAGGCTAGATAGACAGAAGGCATATGTTTGGAGCATTTTTCATAAGATTAGTCAGTATTTTCATTTAGTACAAGGCTAGATAGACAGAAGGCATATGTGAAGTCATAGTAGCTACTTTCGACTAGCCTAGAGGTTAGCATAGATTACTATGTGTACCTGGCACAATTTGCCTATGTTTGGAGCATTTTTCACAAAATTAGTCAGTATATTCATTTAGGCTAGAAAATCTGAGATATTTGTATAAACTAAGTAAAAATGTAACCCCAGAAACACAAGGAACGAAGAATGCAATTGATAAGTTACCGTAAAAAAATCTTCAAAAGTCAACTCTGCATAACCCAAGGTCTGAAGTGCTTTTCTACTTCTCTCAATATTGGCTTTGATGCGATCAATTTCTGCTTTGTCTTGAGCTTCCAAAAGATGCTCCTACAGAGAGATAGAGAGAAGATTAATTTATGGACTGGAATCATTGGAAATTTGGAATGTTTTATTCCATACTCCCCAAAACCCAAGCCAGAATATCCATCAAATTTTAAAGTAGAAGATGCTTCTAAACTGGAAACAATAAAACCTACAAGGTATGAAAACATAAAGCCTCGAAAGAAGCAGTTTCCATCTCCCCGAGTACGCCGAATGGCAGCATATTGCTCAGCAAGCACCTGCATTAAGGGGGACAATAGAAAGATTCAAGAAAGATGACAACATGCTAGGGTATGATACGGCACAACACATGGAGATAAAAGTTTGACCAATCAAACCTTGATTTTCTCCAGTAAGATAGGACTGCCTGATTGATATTCAGCAGCCAAGCTAGATAGTGGTTCCTGCCAATATACCACATGAATCTTTGTCCTTTAAATAATTACTAAAATAAAATTGTATTGCATCCCCTCCACCCACTAAAGAAATCCCAAAGATTAAAACAAACAACAAGACACCTAAATTAATGCCATTTATAGTTAAACAACTTGTGGCACTTTGCTCAAATAAATTCTTCATCAAATTCAGATGTATAAGAGAAGGGAGTCTATTAGCAGTTTAGCACTATGTACAACAAGGCGCTATATGAATAGACAGCTTAATCTCAGCTTCAAGCACAAACACTTATCATGATCTAAAGCTATTTCAATAACAATAGATAAAATAAATTTAGAATGTTTTCCTAAAAACTATAAGCTAGTTTCATAAGCTATCTTGAGAACTTGTGAAAATAAGCGGAAAACAATTTTTGAATAAGTTTTCCCAAACAGTTTTGAAAAACTTATGCCCTCAATCAATTAGCTGAAAACAACTTATAAAAGTAATGTCATTTATAGTTAAACAACTTGTGGCACTTTGCTCAAATAAATTCTTCATCAAATTCAGGTGTATAAGAAAAGAGAATCTATTAGCACTATGTACAGCAAGGCCCTATTTGGATAGACAGCTTATTCGTAGCTTCGGGCAAAAACACGTATGATGATCTATAAGCTATTTCAATAACAAATCATAAAATAAATTTAGAAAGTTTTCCTAAAAACTATAAGCTAGTTGCATAAGCTATTTTGAGAACTTGTGAAAATAAGCTAAAAACAACTTTTGAACATAAAACCGTTTTTGCAAAACTTATGCCCTCAATCAATTAGCTGAAAATAACTTACAAAAGTAATGCCATTTATAGTTAAACAACTTGTGGCACTTTGCTCAAATAAATTCTTCATCAAATTCAGGTGCATAAGAGAAGGGAATCTATTAGCACTATGTACAGCAAGGCCCTATTTGGATAAACAACTTATTCGCAGCTTCAAGCACAAAAACTTACCATGATCTATAATCTATTTCAATGACAAAAGATAAAATAAATTTAGAATGTTTTCGTATAAACAAACTATAAGCTATTTTCATAAACTATCTTCAGAACTTGTGAAAATAAGCTGAAAACAACTTATGAATAAGTTTTCCCAAACAATTTCGCAAAACTTACACTCTCAATCAACAAACCCTTAATTCTAGATAATCAAGGAAACCATTTTCAAAGAGTTAGCCATTTAACCTTACCTTATCCCCCACATATGGAAGTTTCTTGGCTTCATCATCATGAATAGAAGATGTCTGCTGCATTACATCCTCATCCTCAAAAGTGTTCCACCCACAACCTGGACCATCCTCATACACCACTTCCTCATCATCCAACACCGGTTCTTTATTCCGCATTTTTTCCTCTTAAACCAATTCAATTTCTTTTCAAAACAAGCAACAATCGAACTAAACAACACTGCCAAAGATAATAACAATCAATAATATTCGTTTATTATAGTTGACCGAATCATAAAATTGCGTTGAAATCACGGCACAAGAGAATGAACAACAAAATCAATTAGAAATTCTTGATGAACAACATTCACAGCACATAATAATACCATTTCTAGCTCAATATTGTGAGAAAAAACGAAGCGAAAATTCGAAATCAAAAGACAAAATTCGCAGGGTTTTGAATCTTGCACAGATCAAATTGTTGATTGTTTCATCGATCATTTGCATTGAGAAAAAAAGAGGAAAGCCACATGGAGAACTTTACCTTGCGCAAGTTGAAGATTGAAATCAGTGAGTGAGGTGCAAGAGCGGCAAGAGTGAACACGAATCCCTAAAATCTCGAAAGATTAAAATGCAAATGCTAAACGCACCGGGGTTAGCGTTTTATACCTGCACAAACGGTTATATGTGTGTAATAACAATGGGGATTTTTCCTTCAAAAACAAAATATTATTATGGACTAGTAATTAAAATTATTTGAAACTCCTAAGGAAAATATAATTGTGAGTTTATATTTCCAAATGAAGGTGTAAATTGTGGTTGATATTTTGAGTAAGTTTTAAGTAGTATATATATATATATATATATATATATATATATATATATATATATATATATATATATATATATATATATATATATATATATATATATATATATATATATATATATATATATATATATATATATATATATATATATATATATATATATATATATATATATATATATATATATATATATATATATATATATATATATATATATAAATATATATATATATATATATATAAGTAATATATATATATATATATATATATATATATATATATATATATATATATATATATATATAAGTAATATATATATATATATATATATATATATATATATATATATATATATATATATATATATATATATATATATATATATATATATATATATATATATATATATATACTACTTTTATATATATATTTATATATATATATATATATATATATATATATATATATATATATATATATATATATATATATATATATATATATATATATATATATATATATATATATATATATATATATATATATATATATATATATATATAAAATAGAATTGACATGTTTTGATCTTTCGTTGAATAATGAGTTTGTAATTATGTGACATGTTTATTGATTAACTCAATAAAGAAATTATGATGGAGTGTTTGGTATTTTGAAAATTTGAAGAAGATAGATTAGTTATTAAGCTCAAATTATTTTGTAAGGTTGTTTGAGATGATTGTACACGAATAGTAACATACATACGCATTTGGATACCACAGGACAAAAATCAAGATGCCTAACAAAATTTTGGTAAATAGCATCTAGACTGTTGAATATGTGACTCAACACACAAGAGATGGTGAATTGCGGGAGTTTGAAAAAATGAATGTTTAAAATATTTTTTTTCTTCAATTTTAGAGTTCAATTTTTTTTAAAGAGAACGTTTGAATATTGCGATGGAAAAATAAGGTAACGAAAATATGCGAAAAGGAAAAAAGATAAGGGAAAAGAGATGACACCAGGATTTATAGAGGTTCGATCTAAATGAATTACTCCTCTCCCCGATACTTGATCTTAAGTATCCAATAAGGTTTATGAGTTTTTAATAGGTTAAGTTCATGAACCCCCTTATACAAGGAAAAATGAAGTTTCAGGTTTACTTCCAACCAAACAATGAATAATAGACTGAAGCGGTGTCACACCCTAATTTTGTCCGGATATTTTAAACTCATCTCATACATACCCATTTATTAATTTTTCGCATTTTTAGCCATATGCATTTTTATCATCAAATAAAGTCACCATAATCATGCATATGTGGATATATATAGTAAAAAAAAAGTCAACATAAAATCAACATTTTACATGTTGAATAATTTGATTAAATTTGTCTTTTTTATGTATTTTAACAATAAATAAATTCATGATCATTTGATTTATCATCAAAATATTTATTTGGATTTTGTTAAGCATTTTTATGCATCATAAAATAAAAATCAATATTTCTAGAAGGTTCAAAATATCTGTTATTTGTTACATCATTATTCTATGCATATATTATATCATTATTTATTATTTAATTAAATAAGTTTCTAAAAGTCACTCACCACTCTTTGCATGATTCATAAAATACCCTTTTTAGAGCTATAAATAAAGATATTTTCATTCACAAATCATTCTTTAAACTAAGTCAAAACTCTCTTCATTTTTCTCTTCATTTTCTCTCAAGTCATTTATTTCTTCTTATTGAATATGTGGACTTTTACGCTTGTTCTTTATTTTATTATATAGCATCTTTACTCTTACTTTATTAATCACCATTTTGCATAGAAACTCAATTGATTTTAAATCAAGAGTTAAAAAGGGTTCTTGAACCTCCATAAGTAAAAGTGATTTGTTATTAACTAATGGCTCTTATGTTTGTTCTTTATTTAATTCTATTACTTTTTCATTTTTGTTTTACTTAATTAGTACCTTAATCATCACCATTTTGCATGGAAACTCAATTGATTTTAAATCAAGAGTTAAAAAGTGTTCTTGAACCTCCATAAGCAAAAGTGATGAAATGGGTTTTTAATTTTCGTTTTTTTAGTTTCCTTTTTTTAATTCTAAGCATTCCATATTGTTCGTGAGATCGAATAGATGAATTTTCAGTATTCATTTGCTTGATTCCATGAAAAATTGGACAAGTTGTGGCCAAAAGAAGAGGAACAATTGTTGATGTTCACAAGCAATTTCCAGATTCAACCGTAGTCTGACATGTGTCCACTTTTTTTTGGCTCCCAGCTGGGCTCAAGCGCCCTTTGGGCCTTTATTTTTCTTCTATTTTCCTTTTACATACTGTTTGGCTTAGCACCCCACTGTTTCTTATTTTTGTTTCTTTTCTTGTTTTAATTATTTTATTTAGTTGTTTTATTTTCAATTTTGATTTTAATTTTTTCATGCATCTATTAATTTTCAATTGTTCACATATTTAAAAACACAAAAATATTTTTATTTAACTTTTTTTAAATTCATATAATTAATTAATTAATTAATACTTCTTTTATTACTTTCTTTTTATTCTTTATTTTGTTTTACTTCACACCTTATGTTGATAATTCATCATCCTCATTTTATCATTTCTCTCATGTCATTTATTTTTACTTATGTATTAACAATTCATCCCCTCCCTTTTATTATTTCTTTTTTTTAATTATTATTGTTTCATTTTTTTTAGTTAATGCATGATTGTTAATTCAAAAAGATAAAATAACCATTAAAATTAATCATTCAAAAATGATAAAACACTTTATCCAATGTCAAGTGGTACTTTCTTAATAAAACTCTTGATCCAACATCAAGTGACATTTTTCTCAATAAACTTCAAAATACTCAATCATATCAAACTACTTTAAAAAAGGATGAAATAATTCTCGATTCAATGTCGAGCCCATGTTAACACTTTTATAAGTCGATTACTTTTTAACATCACCATCAACCTAATGCACACACTTGCACCTTTCTTGGGTTGTGGTTTCGTTTACTAGGAGTACCCTTAGGAACTAGGATCAACCTCACCTCTTTCGCAAACCCTTGGTCCAACGCCAAGTGGAACCCCTGCATACTTGATTCATATATCGAGCTCTACCTTAAAACTTGTAAATTGAGTGTCTTTTGCCTCGCCATCGACCTTCATCTAAACCATTACGTTCTCCTTTCTCCAATCGTTTCGCACGTGAATTCAAACCTCGGTCAACATCGAGTATTTTCTTCAAATCAAATAAAAACACTTAACCTTTTCAAAACCTTTTTCTTAATTAAATTACAAAAGAAATAAGTTCTTGGAATTTCGTATTCTTTGAATTTTTGAACGATTGCTCTTGAGGCACACACCTTGGGTTGCTTTTCGTTCAGTCTTTCATTTCTAAAAATATTTTCCCTAATTACTTGGACAAAAGAGGGACCATTGGAGTCTAACATTCCATATGGTACCTTTGAAAAATATTTGGAAAGTTTATCGTCCATCGAAACAATCTCATAACTAATCGAATGAAAAACATATTGTTGGGATCTAGCATTCCAGTAATACCCCAATTAATTGGTTTTGAGGCCTATGTCTCTTTCTTATCAAATAATCGTCATTCTCCTTTAAAATACTCAACCAGTCGAACCTTATTTTCTCTCCCCGTGCAATCGGAACCCTTAAAATACTTTAATCAAAATTCAAATCTTTTCTAAAAAAAGACATTTTTCTAATCCTTTCTAACACGTACAAACTTGTGCTTAAGCCTTCCCCGCGAGTAAGCAAGCCAGGTTTTACCATTAGAATGCGATCTAGAAAAGTGTTTACCCTTAACAAACTTTGATCTATTCACAACTCAAACATCTTTTACAAAGAACTTTATTTAGTTCGTTCTAACTCGAACACAAACAAACGCTTTAAGCCTCCCATTGCGAGCACAAGGAACGTTTAATCGTTAGAATACGATCTAAACACTTGTTTTTTAAATAACACAAACCAACAAACTATAGTTCTACGAACTAAGAACGCTTTGATTCTTCATTTTCGTCCAAATGAAGATACGTAGGCACTAGGGCCCCAATCCTTGGCGAGCTACCTTTTGTTTTTTTCCACCTCTTTCTACCTTTTTGTTTCTACCTTCTAAATTTTCCTTTTCCTATCCAAACCTTTTCTCGTAGTCCAAACTACGAATGCTCTTATTTCTTATTTTTCAATGAGAATACATAGGCACAAGAGCCCCAATCCTTGGCGAGCACTCTAATAAAAAAATCACTTATTTCCCCTTAGCAAACAAAACCCTTTTCTCCTACCCTTTTTGTACTACTCACTTAGAAGAAAACAAATAA